GTGGTGATCAGTTGCCCATGCTTTCGTATAGCTGAGCTTCTATTTTAGGGGCAGCTATATGATGCGGAAGAGTTACTGACAGCGAAGAATTCGTTCTACTGGACGAAAAGGGCGCGATATATTCCGAGAGTCGTTCGCTTTTGGCTGCCGCGTTCGCAAGACTGTAGCTCAAACTATTTTATAAGTTTTTTTATAAGTTACAAATCTGTGCGCGTGGGGTAATTTTATTTAGGCTATATTATAGTGACGGGAGTTACAAGCAAATTCCAAAAGGCTTAACACAGCTTGTTGACACAATGCTACACAACTCTTGACAAAATCGGAAGAGGTCTTGCCAACGATGCACGCTCCCAGTTCTGATGGGCTGAACCAACGAACAGGAAACTTCTCCGACTGCTATGGTAGTTGTTAGCATAGCCTTTGAGCGGTAATGAAACTTTTCAAACTTACTATTGTTATAAACTTAGACCTTCCTGCTATGAGCGTCACAGTGGCAGAACTCCAGCCCATTTAAAAGGGTAAGGATTGGTTCATAGACCCTATGCAACGCAACGCGATGGCCCTATGCAACGCAACGCGGAATCTGGACTTCAACTATGGGCCGGAAAAAAATACAGCCATTGGCAGTTCTTCAGAAGAATCCAAATGCGACCCTTGCTGCCCCAGAGCTACACCGGTTTTGAGGTCCTTTCAATCCCACCACCTCTGCAATCAGTGCTGAAGAGCTCACACTATGGTCCAGTTTGTTGACTAGCTCTGGGGCCATTCGTTCAACGTGGGTGTAAACCTGGCAACTTTTGTTGAGGAACCTAACTCATAATAATGGAAGTCAGAATAAGTACTACCCTTCCACGCGGAAACCGACCACTTTACAAGTGACGGATTTTGAAGAACATAGTTGAGCGCGGTCTGGTCGGCTATTAAGAAGTGGTGCCATTGCACCTCGACATGATTCCCCACGAGAAGCGGCGTCAATAAGCAGTTCTGGAGAGGATCACTAGGTCGCTGAAGGACAGTTGGCTGCATATTCGGCACCGCCTACTTCCAGTCACTGCAAGGAATTCCTTAATTACCTCGCAGTTAAACCTGTCATTGAAATCTTGTGCTGCTAATGAGTTTCCATTTGGTTATTCTCTTATTCACTTTTTATGCCTTTGATTGCCACTTAATAGATTGCTTCAGCATTTTCACTCATTCTCACCTAGATGTGGATGTTTTCTGTTGATTCACTATTTCTCCGAGCTTACAATATTATTCCTCGCTGATTTTTACCTTTAGTCTACGTCCAAGAGCTTTGGTACAAATGGAGTCCTATGTTTCACAATATTGGTGATATAGATGTTTGGCGTGCACTAATTATTCATGTCAACTATGACCTCAGTTCGTTTATTTGGATCTTCGTTAAGAGGCGGTCCTTGTTATGACCTTGCTCCTAAATCATGTTTTTCTTGAATAATTTTTTGCTGCACTACACAATGCTATAGGGCCCCTCCCTTGCCATTTTTTTGGCGAAACCGGTACAAGGTTGTTTGCCGCGGACCACACTATCCTCCCAAGGCCTTCTTATAAAACAATTGATATATAATGTGTTAATGAAGTGATCACTTGAAAATGATGGTGGAGAGTTAGTAGAGTCTATTTTTCGCATAATTTTCATCATCGTTCTCCAGATAAGGCGTTTCGTTGATGCCGATATGAGGGCCTTCACTGAAATAATTCCGAGTTTGGAGTGTTACCTTGATAACACTCCTTCTTTGAAGGCACGGTCCGCGATCAGGTACAGAAGTTGAAAATACGGCGTTGGGAGGATAGTGTGGTCCGCGGCATTGTACCGGTTTCGCAAAAAAAATGGCAAGGGAGGGGCGCTATAGCGCAATATAGCTTCAGTGAAGCCTCCTTTTACCATTCCGCCTCCAGATTCCGCCTTCAAGGCCCGCCTTTCAGTGAAAAATGAAAGTATAGGACGAAAAAGTATGATCGACACTTGTACGCTCGTGGAGTTCTAGTCGGGGAATCAGCTGTGCGGATGAGGGTGTAGTGTTGGAGATAGAGTTCATTGGGCACGTACAAACTGGGATCAAAATGGGGTTCTATCTAGGGCAGTTGGCATGTTTTTTCTGCTTTTTCTTCACTATCGAGTTACTCAGCACCTTGTCGTCTATATGCGAACCCCTAATCCACTATCTATGATGGCGAATGATCGCGGGCTTTGCCTTTAATCTGATAACACTCCCCCTCCCCTTTAATTTTGGTGAACGTTACAGTGTTCTCCTCGTAGGGAAATACCACTGATATCTACCTTCTTTTATTTTGTTTGAGCAGCTACTCTTCCAACTTTTTGCGATCCCACCACTTTTCAGACTTCTTCTTTAATTAGTTTTCTTCTCTTTTTTCATCTTTCTAGTCATATGTGTACGAGAGCCTTCTTCTTCGCGCGCTTTTCACTAGCCTTCCGCGCAGGCCCTCCATTTTAGAAGCGAGTAGTTTTTTTCTAGCTTATTCTTCCTATTTCTGTAACGTGATGATGTTTATCGTGTTTAATCTCATATTATACGTTTGTTTCTCTTCAATATTCTTCCCTGTTTTTTTATATTTCTATTATTATTCATTATTAATATTTATATTATTATTCATTATTCATATTTTTAGGTGTTTCCTTAGTCTGTTTAGCGCAAAGGTTCGATTTCGTAGGTGAGCTTCGATTCGCTTTCCTTTTTTTCAGTCTTTCGGAAACGAAGCACGACGGCATCACCTTCACGACCGGATGCGACGAACGTGCGACCGAAGCGCTGCCTGAACGCTGCCTAACCTTAGCTCCAAAGAATCGTTCGACAATCAGTGTTTTTGTGAACGACTGTTCTCATCGTTGACAATGGCACAATGGACGAACGACCTCATTCACAAACCCATCTTGCGGAATTAATGTTGGAATTGGCGAAACCACTACGTGCTGCAAGTGGTAATGTTCAACACGTGATACTAGATGGCCGCTGAGCGTATTGTATCAGCGTGAGTGAAGCGACGATGTCAATGATGGTTTCGACACCCTCCCCCCCTCCCGTTCCGCAAGTAGGTCCTTCACCTTCTCTGATAGTTAGTCCTGGGTACTTAATCCCCACTGCCAACCAGTCCGACGGCAACTTTTGGGGAATAGTTGTGCTAACAACTGTAGGCAGACTGCGAGAGGGGATCGTACAGCGGAACGGAAGTGGGGTTGTAATGACAACCTTATTACAATAGTTTTGCTAAGAACTGTATGGAAGGGGGGGGGGTCGTACAGGAGAAGGAAATTCGGGTGAGGCAGTGGGGTTATAGTGAACCTTATTACAACCACCTCGATCATGTGCCGTGTTACAAAGATTGTTCTAGCATCACTAGCCTTTCGTCGGATGCTGGAGGAATCAACAGTCGGCTACTCCACCCGATCTCCAGCTTTCACAGTGTTCAAGAAACTGTAGAATCAAGGAAGGGAGCTCATCATCACCCACTTGTCGTGAAAAGTGGCTCAGTCAATGGCTGACGATGCTGCTTGTTGACACATTCGCGGTAGCTCATTTGTACGAGCATCGATGGATTAATCAACGCAACACATCGTGAAACATCAACAAGCAAACGATCCAGAGCTTCAATAGCCAGCGGAGTGAAAAAGATCTGAAAAGCAAATAGCTCGGACGATTGTGAGCGTTGACAGGGCGTGTTCACGGACTGAGTTATAAGCGTGACAGTTACAGCATGTCAACCTACTGAGGCAGAGAAAACGATAGAAGTTCCTCTTCTATCATTTCCATCATTCATCATTTTCTTCTATCATAGAAGTTCATTAAGTTCTTCTTGTGCGGACTACCTCCCTTTAGATCTTCTGTCTACTCAAACTGGACAATGGCTGCCGCCGTCATGCTTACAACACAACAAACTGGTGAACACTTCCTACCAGCAAGTGAATATAAAGGCTATATTTTGAGAGCTACTTGATCCGGCAAGAACCCATGAATAGAACATCAAGATCCGAAGGAAAACAAACACTCACCTTCATCGTGCTTCCAACTGAACCACTGATTACGAATTTTCGATCTTGCGTTCTCGGTTGGATATCCAAAGCTTGAGGCTCAAACATAGCCTCGCCCGAAAGAGTCTCAAGTCCTGATTGAGCTTTCTGAGAGCCTTTCGTTGTAGAGGCGGTTAACAGCGTAAGATGAACAGACGATATGCCTTCTTGGGCCTGAAACTTAAACATTATACTTTGAACCCGATGCTACACTGCTTCAGAACATCATTCCTCAAAGAATGCTCTAATGAGAGCCAAGCGCCCGTCATGGAACACGTAATTCTCCAGAGCCATGCCAGCTCGCTCGGTTTCTGTCCGCCATAAATCCAGGAAATGGTATAGGGGTTAAACCGGGAACATCAATGATGGTGGAGAAGGGCGATAAAAGCTTGCAATTTCTGAAAAACAGCCTCGAAAAGGCAAATTCTGGAGAAAAAGGAAAACAAGTTCACGATGAGCAGTGACACCATATTCACCCGCTGATCATGATCTTTGCCATGTATAAGGTGCATGGATGCGCAGCTGTAGAAACCCACTTTCCTTGGTAAAACTAGACGGGAACGAGGATGAATGATAGTGATACCCCGATGCCGTCGCATTCCGCGCCCACTCAAACGCCTAACCATAGGCAAACGCGCTGCTACCTGTGCCCTCTCTTTTCTGGTCTACCGCTGAGTCTGTCTTTCGCCGCGATACTCTGGTATCTGCGCAAGGGCTAAGTCGTGACTTCTGCACGACTTCTTCGCACGGTCCGTCCTTACGTCCATTGCGCAGTTCTGCACGTCAGCTGCCAACCGAACTGGAATGTTTAAAGAGCCGTCTTCGCAGTCCGCGCCGGGGTACCGCGCAACAGTGTCTTCGCTGAGCATTCGACGCAGCTCCCCATTTTTGGGCCCACGAGCAGTTTGGGCTGACCTTACGGAGTTGGAGTCCGCCGTCTTCCGTCTGTACATCGCCTCACCTTCTAACCACGAGCCTGAGGCTCGTCATTGCCTAAGCCTGGCCCTCGTCCCTCGTCTTGCGCAGTTGCCACCCTGGGGCAACTCCATCATGCGCACCTTCCCACGTCTACTTTCGAGGATCGTCGCAAATGGACCCGCAAGGAATGGGATCGCAGGCAACTGGAGAGCCTCCATGGCCCTACTAACGCAGGCAGCTGGCACGTAGGTTCAGGTTTTATTAGGTGTTTTTATTGTGATTTATTGCATAAATAACCTTGCCGATTTCCTCTTGTTTTTCTTTTACTTTCACATGTTTAACGCATATTCTATTTTGATTGATGTTTGTGTAGTAGCTTTGTGGCCGATTCTAGATGTCTAGTTAAGCCCCATCAGTGTGTAACGCGCAGGCTCAGTATTGTGCGCAGCTCTAACGAGGTGAACTGTAGGACTATTAGGGAGCCTAGGACAGTCTCTTAGGGAGCGACACGTGAGCGCAGAGGCTCGATGAACATAGGGATAAGGACCGCAGGCGTGGCCGCGTGGCTTGGATCCTAATAACGCAGGAGACCCCCCCCCGACCTTGTCAGGAACTTAACACGACGCGAAACCCCCTTGGCACCGATGCGCAGCAAACATCAGGGAAATTGAGGGGCCGCGTCGCGACAGGCTGCACCATGTGGATAGCGCGGGCGAGAAATGGAGCAGGTATCAAGTATCACTACTCTTTAAAGCAGTTTTCGTGCACCTTCGAGCAAAGAAAGTGGCGCGTTGCTGCAGAGGCGGGCCCATTCGCCTAGCTCATGGCAAGAAGGGGCACGCTGCTGCAGAGGCGGGCCCATTTGCCTCGCCCATGGCAAAGCTCCTCAGAGGTGAGTGTACAGTTTGTCATTAAGATTTCGCGTGAATAATGGAGTTATTATCAGAGCTCACCCACAGAAAGGAACGGACAAAAAAAATTTCGGCTTTCACTGTGGAACCTCATGTGCCACAACCTACCCCGATTCTCCGACGATTACACGCAACAGCCTGCGTTAGCCAAACTGGTAAGGCTGACCAAAATGTAGTAAACAAAGGAGTCAGACAAAGATTTATATTTTACTTCTTAATTTTAGACTATGATTTACAGACAGATGGGTCAAGACACATGTATCAATAGAATACCTTTTAAGTAACAGCCTGAAAACATACCTCAAATACATTGAAAGTGCGGGCGTCCACCCACTGAGCGATCTCTCCAGGTGCCCCAAACTGCGGCGCTTCACATTCTTCAAAAGGAAATGAGATTGTACGATAACGGAATTGTACATGGAAACATTCAACCTACTTGCTCTACTGGCAACGTTGTACTGATTAAGATATTCGCTATATGCATCAGTCAGTGGCCGCACAGATAGCAAGCATTTCTCTAACTGAAAACCTGGTTATTGATACTCTTCATTTTAAACGTAAAAAAGAACACTAAACAAACAAGCGAACAACGAAAAAATAAAATGATAGAAGATAAAATAATAACAATAGAATAAGAATAAATAATAAAGTGATAAAGGACAAGTTCCCGCCGTCGACCTAACTCTTTATGGATGCGCCACGCATTTTACTTCCCCTCGGAATCGTAGTGACTTATTGAACGCGGTTAGGCCTTTGCAATGAACAACTTGCGGGGGCCCAGCCAATGTGCAGTCAGTGTTCTTATACTCCAGGACAAATCTGGTACCAGGGTAGAAGGCTTGGTTGGCTAGGGGAAGGAGCCGATCCAATATCTTGAGCGACAAAGCCTCAAAATGGTGTCCTTTCAGAATCACTCGTTCATTCCATGCCCACGAGTGAAGAACAGAAAATCTATACTATGACGACACCCATGAACTAACGCAACATTTCCGAGCTGGTTGAGCTGACCTACCGCTTTCTGCGTTCAGAAGTATCGCGTTGTGCAGCTCAATTACTGGTGGCGAGATGGCACATACCGCAAGAGTGAGGAAAAAAAGCAGAAGCAAACCGTTCAGGATACCCTATATAGAATCCTATTTTGAGCCGCACTTGAGCGTGCATAAGGCGAAGAAGGGGCGTGGTTTGACGAGTTTTCGCTTGCCAGGAGCAGCTCTTTCTCCTCATCACTTCCGAGAGAGATCTAGCAGCGGAACAACGGCATTAGCAGGAAGCCTTTAGAATAAAAGGTGGGCGCTGTCGTGGCCGGGGCGGTGGCTTCATCGCGAGCGGGTCCTGCTTCCCTCACGTATTTTGAGGTGCAAAAGTAGGCTCATAGCACTACGGCTCCAGCGCATGTGTAAGCAACAAAATGTAATACATATTCCTGCAGTTTCACCAACCGGAACAGTCTTCGACATTGCTGAATGGAAGGACGCCGTGTCCACTGATGGTACCTCACTTGCACTCTGAGTACTAGGCTTTCGCGATGGCGCAAAATACTGCTTCAATTCCTCTCGGAAAAGCCTGGTAAATCAAATAGTCCACGAGCTTGAGAAACTGGCTAGTGTAGAAAAATGCGACTTACTTTTTGTCGGTGTACACTATGTTCTGAAAGACGCCCGGCTGCACACCAGGTGACTGGTTCATTGAGTGTACGCACAATTTTTGATCCAAATGAATGAGAAAATACTGTCCTCTGCAATGGGAAACACAGTGTTCAGTAAGTCAGCATGCAACGTCCAAGAGATAGAAATAACCTACAGCGGATCGTCCTTCGTTATAAAAGCTGTATCTCCATAACATGCACAGCTCCACACTGTCGTGGTACGATCCCACAAGAAATGTAGACGTTTCGATTCTTTGTCATGTTTTTGAAGGAATGCCTGTCTCAACTGATCCAAATGGCCGGCTGAAGCCGGATGCGGTAGCTGCAGAACAATAAGTTCATGTTGATCCCAAATGCCGCTCAATGATATTTTCATATTGACTATAACTTCAGTGGGAAATGATTCCACAGTAATGACTAGCCCAGCTTTGAAATTTTGAATGGGAAGTGCTGAACTTCAAAAGACCTGCCTGTGTTCAAGAGTGGTGGTTTGTGCAGCTCAAATACTAATGGCATGATAGTAAATAACACAGAAAAGAAGAAAAATGCACTTAGAACCCGGCCAAAATGCCTTATATAAAACCCTATCCTGTGCGTGCATCATGCAAAGAAAGGGCGTGGTCGGACGAGTACTTTTTTGTCGGCGCAGCTTTTTGTCCTTAGCACCTCACTCTCACCATTCGAAATCGCGAGAGTAGTGGTGGGACAACCACACCATCAGGCAGTAGTTGAGAATGTAAGCTGGGCGTCGCTGTGGCCAGTGAGAGGAGCCGTGGTTTCATTGCGAGCGATAGGAGCTTTCCTTACGTAGTTTTGAGCCGGGAAACTAGTACATCCTGCACACTCGCACGCAGGCCTATCATGTCCGGAAAAGGTGCCTGAACATCAAATGAACGAAGGTGTGCCTCGAAAGGCACACGATAGCTAGACAGGAAACTCACAGTTGCTTTGCTCTTCACAGCAATGAAAACCAAGATCAAGACTCTCCGTTCATTTCTTCACCCATCCCCTCAAAACGGAATGTGCCTTTAAAGACACATCCCGCTTCCTTTTGATGTTCAGACGCCTTTTTAGGCAAGGCAGTCGTGTGCGCAAGCAAGGGGGATGTACTACTTTCACGGTTCAAACAAGTGAAGAAAGCGCGACCCGCTTACCACAGAGCCACTCCCCGCTCACTACTCCACTGACTCGCTCATCAGCCATCAACGCCCAACTTTCTTCTCTAAAGGGCTTTTTGATGGTGCGTTTGTTCCTCTGCTACCCATTTCGAATGGTGGGAGTGATGTGATAAGGAGAAAGAGCTGATCCTAAAAAAGAGCTTGTACGACCAGGCCGCTCTTTTCGCCTGGTAGACGTACAAGCTCGCTTCGGCATGGGGCTCTATACGAAGCATTTCGGATTCGATATCAGAGTGGAGGGAGGGGGCAAGAGCATAGTGCGAATGTACAAAGTCAACAAAGCTGCTCCAGGAACGCTAACCGGGGTAGGGAAGCTGAAAAAATTAGGAGAGCTTCGCAGTGGAGTGCACCAGCGAAAGTGTAACAGCGTGGGATACAAAACGAAAGAAAAAGAATATAATTAGGGACCGAGATCTACAAGCAGAATATTGACGATGATAAATGGAATGAGGTATTTCGCTGAGGCACCGATCGGACTTAGCGATTTGTCATTTCATCTCTGTTTCATAAAAACTCTCTGGAACCCAATATTCCTCCCTTTCCTTAGTGGAAAGCACAGAGGGAGAACTATGCTTTTGCTCAGTTCCCGTCTAAGAGCACGAGCGAAACTGAGCTATCTCTTTGCTTATCAACCCCTCTCCATAATTCTCACTTACTCGATTTTTTTCATGGTCCATTATTTTCATTCAATGGTTCTTTTAGCGATGATGTGCGTAACGCGCTACCATTACTATAGCGTTCCAGTGCTGTGGACGCAACGGCAGTAGACGGGTATTGTCGGTGCCAATCGCTACTGTTCTGCGAAAGTATGGGAAGATAAGGAGGTACCAGACTGCCCGAGGGCAAGGGATACCCTCCTAGACTCCCACTCTCACAGCAGCAGCGACCAGCGCTGATCATACCCGTGCATGACTGTGTTCCCGTCTATAGTATTTGTGCGCGCTTGCAATGGTAGCGCGTCTACGACTGTCCGCGGAGCCTGAACGCTGCTTGATTTAGTCCCATACTGAATCACATACGATACGACCCCACTGACAATATCTACTTCGAAACTAACTGAAAGTGACAGTTTTTTTTGTACCTAACTTGCTTTTGTCATGAAAATTGGAAAAATAGTTTCTCAAGGCTGAACAGGGTTCCTACCTCAATATCAAGCGAAACTCCAGAGATACTCGCACGTGCGCATTCAAGCCAAGTAGGACTGTCAGCTGGGTGGAACACTACAAATACGAACTGTTAAGGTTCTTGCAGTGAAAATTCACCAAAGAACTCTCCAAAATGTATCGTACATTGTAGAATTTTCACTTGCGGTATTCGAACACAAATATGCTCAGTAAATCTTTTCTCATGGGCATTGCAGAGAGTGAATCGTATAGGATCGACAGCTACCTGAAAAGAAAAAAAAAACATATTGAACATCAGTTCAAGTTATTGTCAGATTTGTCGAGTGTTCTAGAAGGCAAACTTTGTCATTCGAGAATAAAACAGGGGCCGAACCTAATCAGAAATAAAGCGAATAGTAGTTTAATGCGGTGGTAACAACTTCAGAATTTGTTTGATCCCAGCCCCTAAACAGGCTAGCACGGATTGAGGGATAATACCTTCCATTTACGCCTAGAAAAAGCCCAGCCAATACAGCCGCTGGCTGTAAAAGCAAGACAAACTGTACGCCCAACGGGGGTCCTTGCCTTGCCATGTGCGAGGCGAATTAATTCGTACCTGCGGTAGTGTGCCACTTTCTCCGCTCAAACAAGCAGGCAAAGGGGGCTAGAGTCTAGTGGTGCCGATTGCCGTTTTCATACTCCGCCCGCCAATTCTCACGGTGCAGCACTCGCGACGGTACCAAGGGAGTCGGTACCATACGAAACAACTTTCGATGGTAGAGAACAAGTAACAAGTAAGTGACAGAGCGCAGAAAAGTAGCGCGTTCGGCTACGGTGAGGCGGATGGCTCACCGCGCGGCAGCGGGCATGTAGTCGGCACACGGTTATAACTATTCGCGGGCTTCCCCCGGCACATTTGTGCGGAGAAAGTGGCACGCTACCATAACTGCGTGCCCATTCACTCGCACATGGAATCTGCCGTCAGCGAAGGTGACTGCCCAGTTCGCCTTTGAGCTGTGGCTCACCGTAATAGCAGTATTTTCATCCGTCAAAGCCAACTGCACACCATCCACAGCAATACGCATCTGGCGATACTTCAGCCTGAAACATTCCACCTTTTACAATGATCCTGTAGACTTAGGTCCAGCTCATATGCAGCAGATACAAGCACTGCATACCTTTCTTCTGACTCGCATGGGCGACCTGGTTGTGATCCTACCGAGCAGACTGTACTTGTTTGCCCATGCTGGCAAAACTTGAACCTGTCTGGGACAATTTTTGCGTCATCCTTCGCAATAACCAACAACAGCAATGTGTCGAGAAAGTTAACCAGTGTGATAATCTGAATCATACTTGGCAATCGTATGAACTTCAAAAATTGTCAAAATATACAAAAGAAAGTCATATATGGGGATGAAAATGTACAGGAAAAAAAATAAACGCCTCAACGCTGACCTGAGATGGACTACCAAAACACCCTCCGACCTCACCAATCAGAATTTCTGTGAGCCAGCAGTACTCAACGACAGCCATATCCCATGGACAATCAACTGATGAGAACATTGCATGTCCTCTGAAAGTTGGTTCAGGATTTACAGACCAAAAAAGGTATATCATAGGCCAGAAATATTACTTGTAAGTACCTGAACTGCAATCCAGACAGAGTCAAGTACCCGTCATTCTGTGTAGAGGCTGCACGTTCGAAATACGCTGCACAAGGACCAACGCCAACCTTAAACAGCCACAATGACCATTACACAGACAATCATCGGCTACTCAAAGATGCAAATACCGCATTGGAAAGGCCAGAGGGCACAGGTACAGGGCAGATACCGCCTCTTCACAAGAGTAGTTCGGGTCTCCAAAAAAACATTCCCCGATTGAAGCTGGGGGACTTAGTATGAGTTCGCAGATGCTAACTGACTCGTCGAAGAGGAAAAAATGGAAAGAAGTGTCAAAAACACCCGAGGATAGGACGAATATTTGAAGAAGTTAGGCATTGCTGTGAAGGCGAGAGACCAGAGACAACGGAGGACGGTGAGTTGGAAGACAGGTCATCTAGGGAAGTTGGAAAACAGGTTTTACGGAAAGCATGGAATGCGTAAAATTCGTGCTCAAAGATGTAAGATCGCTGGCATATCTCCGAGTGAGGCCACTTTAAGGATGGTATCTCTCCGGCTTTGGCTGCGTTCAGACTTGGCGATGATGCGCTACTATCGCAATAGCGCTCCACTTTGATGGACGGGGTGGCAGGCAACCAGTGCTTTGGGAGAGCAAAGGAGAGCAGGAGAGTACCAGATTGTGTGCTAGAGTATTGAAGAGTACAGGAGAATGAGAGCAGATTGTGAGCTGATTCTCCTAATCTGCTCTACTACTCAGAACACTATTGCAAGCTGTTATTGTTTGATAACTGCTGTTTAACGCCGCAGTACGCGATCCGAAAGCTATCACAAGAATGCTGAGTTATGGGCAAAAGTCGGACCACGGACGGGATTCGAACCCGCATCTTCTGCTTACCGTGCAGTGCGTTCCCTATTACGCTACCGAGGCCACTTTTGACCACTCAGCTCAATGGCTATTTGTGCCATTGCCTTCGAGCACTCACACGTTCACTGTCGATATCGGCTAACCGGCTCATCACGTTGAACGTGTGAGTA